GTTCATAACACTTTGTCTCTGCTGCTGCTTCCACCTCACAGTCTTCCGCTGCTCCAGCATAGGATTCTTCCCACAAGAGACAGTCCTCCACAAATTTCTCCTTGATTCCTTCCCCCAGTTCTTCAAAAACTGCTTCACCATGGGGACTCCTATGCAGTGCAGTCCCTCAGAAAAATCTTCTCCAGCATGGGTTCCCACCATGGGATCCCAGAACCTGCCAGAAAAGCTGCTCCAGAATGCACTCCTCTCTGCTTGGTTCCACCTGTCCTGCTCCAGCCTGCTCCAGCATGAGTTTCCCCCAGGATCCCACTTTCTGCAGGCTACATCCACCTGCTCCAGTGTGGAGATCTCCAGAGACTGCAGGTGGATCTCTGCTGCCTCATGGGCTGCAGGGGCGCAGCTGCCACTCCATGGTCTGCACCCCGCGCTGCAGGAAAATCTCTGCTCCAGTGCCTGGGGCACCTCCTTCCTTCCTTCTGCACTGACACTGGTGTCTGCAGGGTTGTTTCTCTCACACATTCTCACTGCTCTCTCCCACCTGCTGTTGTGCAGTATTTTTTTTTCCTTTCTTAAATCTATTGTCCCAGTGTCACTCCCACCATCACCAATGGGCTCAGCCTTGGCCAGTGGAGGACCCGTCTCGGAGCCAGCTGGCATTTGGTTGTGTTGGACGAAGGACTAGCTTCTGGTGACTTCTCACAGAAAAAAATTCTACTGATCCCCCTCTACCAGAACCTGTCCACACAAACTGCTATGCAGACAGTTACAGTTATATTTAAACAGGTACATTTAAATATTCTAATTTTCAAATGAATCATGTATTATATGTCCACAGGCCAGGATCTAGTATGCAATACAAGGTTCTCTAAAGCATTTCTCAAATGTTATTGAAGGCAAAGTTTAAAATTTCATCTACAGGGTACAAAGACATTCGTTTTATATCTCACAATAAGATGTTAGTGGAAGATGTAATCCCCAAAGGTCTGGGGCTGTGAGAAGGGTTAATACAGGAGCAAATCAAGCCTGTGGGAAGAATCACAAGTAGTTTGAGTCAATGCCTATGTGACACTGTCTGATCATCTGGACCACACAGTTCATCAGGAGTTCTGAGGGCACATGGATGTATAAAAAAAAGCTTTAGCTAAGTCTCTATTAGCTACTCTGGGGCCTTCATTTCATTACCAATAAACAAGGCATTTGCCTTCCAAAAATGCACTTCAACTGATCAAATACATATTCTGATTATGAATGAGTTGCATGCAGATATGTTTGAAGATATATCTACAAGCATGCAGATATAATAGCTTAGTGGCACTTGGGCAATATTGAATATAAATTATTATTTACATTTACAGCATCCATGATTGTAGTCCCTCATTGGTGAAGAGAACTTTGGAGATTTTCTTAATAACACATATTCATTTTCTTTTGGCACTGAAATGCTGGGTATTCAAATAGGATGTTGTCAGTACTGTAGATGCCATGCAGTTAATGCTGTGGAGGAAAAAACATCATTCACATGATGAAAACAAACTTTAACTGTTATTTTCTCCTTTGAGACTGAGAGCCATGTAATTTAAAAAGTCACCAAACTTTATGTGACAGAATCATATGATTGAAAAATTTTGTTTACTCATTCTCCAAGTCTTCTAAAAATCTAATGCTGAAGCTGAGACATTCAACTAATTTAAAATTAACCAAGATTTTTCACAGTTCTGCTCTTGGTTTTTGTATTCCTTTGTTCTTTCTTCTTTAGTTCATGTTTTGCATAATAATATTATATCAACATACTGAAAGTAAACAATACAAATAGTACTATTAGCATTCAAGGTATCTTCAGTCTGGATCCCTTTGTACTCAGTTGAATTTTCTTCAAAGGATTTAAAAGCTGCAAGGAAAAGATGTTCTTTGCCTTTCACAGAGATGGGATATATTATTACAGAGATTATGATCCAGAGAGAAGGCTTTAGCTCACCAAATGGGATGAATGTAAAATGTAGGACCTTAAATCCAGGACAGTAATACTTAAAATATCTCTACTTTGAATGCAGCTTTGTGACAATGATGCCTGCACTCTGTCCAGCTTCTTGCTCAGGAGCTTATGGTGCCTCCTCACAGTGTTCTTCTGGTTAGCAACAACTACAGTGAAAATATGTAGCAGAAATATTACAAATGTGTGTGCAAAAAAAAAAAAACCACTACTGAGAGCACTGAGAGCATGATCAAGAAGTTGTATCTGCCCTCTCACAGACCAGCAGCACATCTACAGAGCCATAGAAACTTCCTCCCAATTCCCTGTTTCAGATTCTCATTATGGGCTCCTCTCCCCACAGCAGCAGCACAGCTACCACAGGGTGAATGTTGCCATCCCGTATTGTGCTCCATGGCCTGGTGCCACAACACTCTCTTGTGTTCAGAATTAAACTTAAAATCAAAATATTCCTCTGTTGCTTTTCCTGTCAGATTTTAAAAGATTATGTATTGGCACTTGCATCGTTAGAAAAGCTTTAAAAACATGGGATCCGTGGCCCAGACAGAAACAACTGAACTTCACCTTATGGGAGGATTCTTGACAAACAGCCTCTCCACTGGTTTTGCCTTGGGTAGTATATTCAATTGAAGAAATATAGACTTGTATGCCTTTACTCATTGTTGCAAATGTATTATACTAGGAAACCCTAGATTTTGCTAGATCTTTTCCAAAAAACATGGGTTGTTGTGTAAAAATTAAACTTTAAATGATATGTTTAATCATAAAAAAAGGTGATCATACTTTCCCCAGAGGCTATAAACCTATTCTTGTAGTAGACATTGTAAGAATGGACATTAACAAGGGATTCAAAAAAAGCATTTTTGCTTGTAAGACCAATCTCAATATTTTTTCTCCTCCAATACTAATTTTCTACTCTTTATTTATATTTTCCTTTTGAATTTCTTTATCACTTTTAGTATTTTTTCTTGATCTTTGAATAATAATTTTCTATGTTTTGGTATCTACACACATGAACAATATCTTGTTAGCATTATTTCTGCAATAGTTTACATAATAATTGTTTACATAATTAATATATAAACTATGAGATGCAAAAATCAAAAGATGCTTCATGTTGTTGCTCCTGTAAGGATGGAATTTTTAGAAGTTTGTATTTAGATTATTAGATAATGTTTCTATAAATTAAAAATTCTAGACTGGATGCTTTAATAAGCTTCACTTTTCTTAACTTACACATATAAAAGAATTTGAGTCTGTGAGAGATTGCAGAGGTTTTGTACTAAATATTAATTTATTTTAATTTCTTACTGATTTCATTTTTTATTATTTTGTTATCATTGGATTTGTCAAGATCTGAATCAGTCATAAAGTTCCTCTCTGACATTGATCATGAAGTTCCTTTCTGACAAATTGTTGGAGAAAAGATAACACAAAATCCTGAATCCATTTAAAATATTCTTTTATAATCATTATATTAATCAATATCTTTGATTATGTTTCTTAACCAATCTTTCATCTTATTAATGGCAGTCAGTCTCAAAGTTTAATACTTTTCTTAGTTTTACTTTTTTTTTATATATTTTGAAAGATCATTGCATATCAGGCCTTGTTCTGCAAAAGTGATCCACAGCTGAGTGCTACTGGCCTGCTAAATGATTTAATCATCTCTCTTCTATAAGAATTTAAATTTATTATATGTCTTCCTTTAATAGACAGATGAGAGTAAGAAAATTATAAGTTGTCTGACACTTGCATGTTATTTAAATGCCTATGGAACTCAATACGTTAATCTTGAACATTTTGGCTATGACTATTATGGAAAATGCTAGAAAATCTGAAGGGGGAAGGAAGAACAGAAAAGCTTACACAGGCCAAATAGCGGTGTGTTTCAGAATGGCAGCAATTTGACCCGACTGTACTGTATATTGATACAAAGCAAGAATAAAGAACAGTTTTCTCATTAATTTGTATTTTTAAACCTCAAAACACTTGAAGAGTTGTTGGCAAAAATTGCAAGACTTTAAAAAGAGCCAGAATTGCCATCACGATGCATGAGGAGACAACAGGTTAATATCCTTCTACATGTACATTACCATATGCTTGAGTGAAGTTTTGTAGAGCTTTGTCTTCTTAGAGTCTTACATTCAAATAATTTAGTTGGATGAACTTATGCCTGCTCACATTATGTAGCTGACTGACTCATAACTGCTGCTTATATTAGCTGATAGCAAAATGGGGAAATCATGGCTTAATTTCAATTAAAAGACAGAGAATGTTCTTTGAGAAAAAGCATTTTAGTCTCTTTTAAAAATGCTTTATGCCTTCTGTCTTTTTAATAGCTGAATGGTCATTTTATTACCAGAAGGCTTTAGCACTGTATCACTGATACGTAAATAAGGAATTCAAGTCTGTGATACTGGTGTTTCTTAGAGGGAATTTTTGATTTTACTCCTTAATAACAAATTTATAACTTTATTTCTTAAATCTAGGTATTTCACCTTATATAGACTGGTACTGGTTGAAGGCACTAGAAAGCAGTAATACAAATGCCATAGTGTTATTTCAAATCACCAAGACCTTTAGTTGCCAATTCTTCACAGAATGTGCAGCTGCAATACTGCTCAAAGCAGAGATCAAACTCCTCTTTTTATTGAATTCAGTGCTGAAAAGCCAGTTGATCTCAGCAGCATGAGGTTAGGTATCATCTTTTCCCAGACAACTGGAGGAAGCTGCATAGCTGGAAAGTCAATCTCGCACTCTCACATTTAAGAATTTTCTAATTACTTTAGTATTGCAACCAAGCGAATTTTGTATGCTAAGGCATGTCTATTAGCACATGTAAAATTATTTCTTTAAACTAGTATGGCACTATTTCCTTTCTGCTTCTGGCTTCAAGATTTACTGCTTTGATGTAGCTGAAAGTTGTACTTATTGCAGTACTGTGAAAACTGAAAAGCATGTATTGTCACAATGTGCTGTCTCATTTCAGGTTTCTCTTATATTATAGGTTGAACTGGTACACCTATGCATATAGGGGAGCATCAGTACTCTTCCCAAAAGCAAATTTTTTTCTGAGGGGCTAAAGGGTAAGTATAAGGAAAGATCTAATTTTGCTATAGGTTTATTTAGTTGTACCTAAAGGACCAAAATTTTACTGTCTAGGATTCCAGAAAACGAGACCATCAATGCCAATCGTATTAATCAAAGGTATTAAACACGGCAGCTAAACACAATCAAAATTCTTTATTCCCAAACAAACTTGATTTCCAAGAAACTGAAGATTATAATGCCTGCAATTAACTGAAGATTCACATCAAGCCCTGCTTTTATAAGTCCGGGATCTTAATTTTGAGCCACTAAATTATTTGCAGTTCACCTTATTAGAGTCCGAATGCCACTAGTTATTCACGCACATTGTAAACGACTATGTCCCTTCTTTAATCTATAAAAATTTTGGAACTGTGACACGTGTGCCTTCTTTTCTAAATTTCTTCTAGTTTTGTAGGTACATTTGCATTTCATCTGTATTAGTGCATGTTAAATGATATCTTTCACTTCGTGCTTTAAGCGCCGGTGGAGTCAGTCCTGAGGGATATGAGTCAGGTGAGAACAAAGCAAGGACCTTGAATTTTAGGAAAGCAGAACTCCAATTCTTTGCAACGTTGGCCAAGAGGACCTTCTGGGAAGCTGCCCTCAGGGACAAAGGAGTAGAATAGAGTAGGAGATTTTAAGGACATCTTCCAGACAGGCTAAGAGCTTGTGATCTTCAGATCTCCCAATTGCTCAAAAGTAATCAGGAAAGGAAGATAAGACTGGCACAATGAGGCAGTTTGAGCACACTTTTGGTCAAACTAAGGGGAGACAAAGAAATGCACAGGTAGAGGAAATGGGGACAGGTGTCCTAGGAAGAGTATAGGGACACACTAGTTGTGTAGGAATGGGATCAGGAAGGTCAAGATGGGACTGGAACCGACCTTGGCAAAGGACTCAAGGAATACTATGAATGGCTTCCATACATACACCAGGCAAGGTTTGCCTTGAGGTGCCATGTTGCCTTGAATTGCCTGCCTATCCTCTGTGTGTCTTAGCACATCTTCTAGGAGAAACTGTTCCATGATGTTTCCATGCACAAGGCAGATAGTTCACAGGGTCCTCCTTCCTATCCTTGAGAAAACGGATGCAGTGCATCCTGTTTTCCAGTCACTGGCTATTTCAGTTGACTGATATGACTTTTCCCTCATTCATCAATAACATAGGCAGTATAAGTACACACTGCAAATTTGCAGATGACACCAAGCTGAGTGACGTGGCTGACATGGCCAAAGGATGGGATGCCATTCAGAGGCACTTGGATAAGCTCAAAAGGTCGGCCCATGAGGATCTCATGATTTTCAACAAGGGCAAGTGCAAAATCTTGCATGTAGGTTGGGGTAATCCCAGGTATTTATGGGAGAGAGATAAAGGGATTTAGAGCAGCTCTGACAAGGAGGGCTTGGGGGTTCTGGGCATGAACTGGGGACATGCACTGGTGCCCAGAAAACCAGCTGTACCCTGAACTGCATGAAAAGAAGCCAGCTGGTCAAGGGAGTAGACTTCCTGGAGCAAGCTCTGAGAAGGTCCACAAAGATGACTGGAACACGGGGGCACCTATTCCAAGGCAAAAAGCTGGAAGAGCTTGGGGCTGTTCAGCCTGGAAAACAAAGTGTTTGGGGAAGACCTTCCAACAACTTTTAAGCACCTAAATGAGGTTACAAGATAGATTGGGACAGGATTTTTAGGAGAGCCTGCTGTGACAGGACAAGGGTACTGGTTTCAAACCAAAAGAGGGTCGATTCAGACTAGATATAGAAAGATATTTTTTACAACAAAGTTGGTGAGACAGTCGAAAAGGTTACCCAGAGAAATAATGGATATTCTCTTCCTGAAAATATTCAAGGTCAGATTGGATGGAACTTTTTGATCAACCTGATCCAGCTGGTGGTGGGGGGGGTTGGACTACATGATTTTTAAAGATCCATTCCAACCCAAACTATTCTATGATTTACTTGAAAACTTTGAAGTATTGCTGGGTTTTATTAATACTTAGAGACATATTATATATTTTAAAACTTGCTGCCCTCAGATATGACAGTGCTTCAATACCCTATCAAATCTTTTGAAAAAGGACTTTGCTGTAGTTCAAAGCATATTATCTATTAAGTATAAATGCAGTGAAATGAAAAGAAAGAACAAATATTTTCAATTAATTTAATACATTATGTAGAAGGGCTTAAAAATCCCATCCTACTGAAGAAGTGGGTTTAAATTAAATTATTTCTGCATTTTTCCACCAGCATTACAATTCCTGTCTTGAAATGTCATTACCATTGATTCCAAGTTATTACAGTTAAGGAGTTATGTTTCTACAGATATCGCTCTATTCAGTTTTAATGTTAAGAGAATGCTTGGTACTGTCATTACTTTCATCCACATTAGGAAAGTTCAATTAGCTCTATAGAAATCTACCATTGAAGTAAATTTGGCAAGCGAATAAACTGAAGTTTGTAATTTCATTGGTTGAGTTGCATTTTAGTTTTCCGTAAATAATGCAGACTTGAATTCAACTGTGATCTGCAATCAGTGTCTTGCAAGTTTTTATTTCAGGTGTCTTACCATGTCTAACTAAATGAAAATATAAGCAAGCAAACACAGCACTGTCTTGCACTACTTTCTCTGTAAAATACTTTCTAGCTGAATATTCACACAAATAACTTAAAACTGTTCATTGTCTTTCATAAACTCCTTTCCAAAAATGAAAAAAGGAGTAAGAAATAAACATCAGAATGATTGGAATTGTTATGACGCATATTCAACAAAACTGCTGATTCCTGTAAACACATTTTCAGAGTTATTTGAATGTGTCATACCTGCTATTTGAACACATCAATCCACTGCACAAAGATTGGTCTAAGGGCACTTTGAATTCTTACTTCCCTGTAATATCAGAGGAAACACTTGAGGAATACTATTGGAAACCATCTGGCAGCAAAAAAACTAGGAAAAATTAAAAAGTCTATTTTTGGTCATGAGTCCCCTTTTAGTGTCTACTCTCTGTTCATGTTGTTCACCCAGCTGCCAAGTGGAACAAAATGTACTGCTGCTATTCTGGGGCTCTAAACAGCATGTTTAGGAGGACAGAAAACATAATTCAAGATTTTGCAGCTTGAAGGTTTTTGAAAATTTTAAGGCATATAACACTTTAACCTTGTAACTATCTCTCACAGTGTGGTCAAAATAATATAAAAATATGGTTGGGCAAGTCAAAATATTTCTGTTTCTGAACAGAGTTCTGAACAGTTTAAAGTAACTTCAAGCTTAAAAATGAGAGATTTAATCAGGAAGTCCAAAAGAAAAGACCTAGAAAACTCATTACAGCTTTAGAAAGTGTTTAAAGACACAATGAGGTTTTTTACATCAGTTATTTTACAAGACATCAAGCTTACAGTCTAAGAAAATTTAGGAAAAGCGTGTTTTACGGAAAAAGGTATCTCAGAAGCAGCCAGTGTACGTTATTTTGGAATGCTGCAAGTTTGGAAATGCATAGTCATCTTTTAGATAATGAGCTATTATGAGATGTATTTTGAGCTGTACATCTTTGCAAGACTCAAACTTCTCTTGTTCACCACACAGCTCTCGAACTACTCATCCCAAGAAATACTAAATTTCAGTAAAACTCAACCCTTCTATCTGCATTACAAAATTCTCAATGAAGAGAAACAAATGAATGTGGATCATGTTGAACATTTCTGAGTTCTAAGCAAATTACTTTAGAACTGTATTTATGTTGGTAAATAAAATGGGCTGGGACCATTCTGAAGGCAAGGAGAACAAGACACAGGCTCTCATGATTAAAACCTCTCCTGTCCTCTGAGTAAGATGGCCTTGTACTTACTTCCATCAGGAGCAGGCCTTGGTTAGTGCTATCCAAAGTGGTCACTTGGCTTTGTCTGTGTAGTGTGAGGTAGCCCAGGCCAAAACTATACCAACATGTTTAAAGAACAATACCACTGTAGATAACCTCAGTGCTTGGTCTGGTTTAGTTTCCAAAGTATGGGCTGTGAGTTCCCCTGACTTCAAGACAATGGGAGAGCTCACAAAAGGGAAAAGACCAACCATACAACAGCTGGCTAGAAGCCTGCCCAGATCTGTAAGACATGTCTGAACTGACTAAGCCGCTTTCAGATGCAAGTGCTATTTCAGGACAAGTCAAGTAAAAAGGCTAGGAAACTTGATAATTCACTCACTGAAATAATTCACATGATCTCTCAAAGGCTGTGTTTTGACCTAGTCCAGTGTCTTCCACAGAATCACAGAACAATTCTCAAGCACAGCACAGAGATGGGTACTACAATGGGTAAGGTATCATTCTCCAACAGGCAGATTAAGAGGATTTTAAGTGGGTACAGAGTGTTCCCTTTCGATTGACCTTGACACCCAAGAGCAAGCCAGCATATGACTAACTAGTTTAGATAGGACCAAGTAATCATTAGAAATAAAATGCATAGAATATTAGAATGGTTTAAACTACAAAGAACTACTATAGACCACCTAATCCAGTTTTGCTCGGAGTAGATCCAGTGCATCAGGTTCCTTGTGGACTTATTTAATTAAGTTTTTAATACATCCAGATAAATATACCTGTAATGTTAAACAAAAAAATGGCCAGTGACTGAATTGAACTAACAGACTCTCATCAGCCAGTTAAACTGCTAGCTCACTCTCTAGATTTGAATGGTCCATCTTTTTCTGCTTCAACAGTGGTGTCTTACTTTTATGGACACAAGCTAGGCACCACACTTGGCCATTGCAGTTATCAGTCCCCAGCTGTCTTTCTTTAGCACCACAGGCACAGCCAAGATGGGCACAACCTGCACAGCATATTTCCCAATCTAATCAGGACTCCCAGACCTGAACTACATAGACTTCCCTGCAGTGTGTGTGCACCTGTGGCGTTGCAAAGCTGTTACCTCAATAAATCACCAGTAAATTAATAATGGTGCTGATTGTATTTTTTATTCATTTCACTTTAATACAATAAAGGCATTAT